AGTCCCCATTGTAGTTCTTTTTTTGGTTTAACCAAATATATATATATATATATATATATTAACGAGTTTTGTAAGGTATCCCCCAAAAGGAACTACAATGCAGACTATAGGTAGACCCTAAACCCTAAACCCTAAACCCATAACTCATAACCCTTAGCCCTTCGAACACGAGAGCTGCCAGGCATTGTCCAACTTCGCCTTGCCGACCAGCTGCCGGTTCCCCCGCCGGACTCCGCTTCCTGACGGCGGTTTAGGGTTTAGGGTTTCGGGTTTAGGGTTTCGGGGTTTAACGGTCTCGGATTTCAGGGGTTCGGGTTTGGCATTGAAAGTTGCGGGTTTAGGGATGAGATCTTAGACGCTGACTGGGTCTTGTCGTTCATGTCTTGAGATCCTGAAACCCAGTATAGGCATAAGGCTTGACTTTAGGGCTCGTGCTCGAGTCCCAGGTTTTCAAAAATGAGTTTCAGAGTTTCGGGCTTTAAGTTACGGCCGCCCCTGAATCCCTAAACCCTAAACCCTAAACCCAAGACCATGAATGAACCCTGTAACTGTGCCTCTCGGGTTCGGGAAAGAGCCTGGCTGCGACTGCATACCCAAAGGCTCCATGTACCTTTATAGTAGGTACTTAGGCCTTAAAGTGTCCCCTATTAGGTACTTTAAGGCAGAAGTATCTACTATAAAAGTACATGGAGCCTTAGGGATAGCTGTTGCTTCAACCTGAAGCAGATCTGAGGCGCAGCAAGGGCACCAGGCAGCCATTGCACTTGCGGGCTCTACCCCTAGGCCCTAAAGTAGTTCCTTTTTGGGATTCATATATAGAATCCTATAATAAGGTAATCCCAAAAAGGAACTACTATGGGGCCTATGGGTAGTGGCTGTGTTGAAGGTGTGGTCGGGTTGACCCTTTCAGAGTTCAGGTGTTCTGGATTTTCCCACCTCTGTGTTAGCACTCTGGAACTCCAAAATGGCTTCAGTACACCAAGCTCTGGGAGATGTGGACGGTGTATATCCGTTTAGGAGTACGGTTGTTAATGCACTTGAATTGCTATGTCCACCTCGGCAGTTAGCGTAAGTAACACTCGTTTTAGCTCCATTTTAGGTGGGTGTTCGTCGAATGCAAAACACGGTAAAGATACCTGCCTACCCCAACGTCAAGGGAGCAAACTCCGAGCCATAGCCTGGCTGTGTATTTATCAGTATATATTATGTATAAATATATTGTAACAGACCCCAGAAACCCTATTCAATATACATTAGTATATATTTAGGTACGTGATAGCTTCGAGCTTGATGTCTCATGGAGCATTGCTTCCGCTACGGTCCGTTCGCATAGTTGCTCGCTACTGAAACTTGGACCACAACGAACGCCAGCCTTGTTGGTGTTCTCTCGCTCTCTTTCTCTGGCTCCTCTCTTTTTTGTGTCTCGCTCTAAACTTATCTATGAGCTATCCCCAACCCTAAGGGTCCATGTGCCCAAGTAGTATATACTTTGGCCTTCAAGTGGTCCCTATATAGGTACTTTGGGGCTATATACTATATGAGTACATGGACCCTCAGGGCAAGACCCTTCTTGCAATCACACGCCCCGCAGGCTGCTCGCTCCAAGCCCCAAGCCGTGCATGCCAAGTGCACTCCAAACTGCACACGTCAAACGAAAGGACCACGGTTTAGGGTCCTAGGGTTTAGGGAGAAATCAGGATTTAGTTTAGGGTGTATCCTAAACTCTAAACCCCTAAACCCTAAACCCTAAACCCCTGAACCCTATAGAGTTTGATTAAATTCAGCCCTAGAGTTCCTCGTGGAGCCTCGGCCCTGCAAACCTTAAAACCCCAAGTAAACCCCAAAGCCCCGAAGCCCGTGCCCTCCCTTATAAACCCAACAAACGACCCCAAGCCGGGAGTTTGCTCTACTGACACACTAATATAGGGCCTTAAGTAAATACCTTTTCTGTTTTGGGGTTCCTTATCATAAAAATAGTATAATGGGCCCCCCAAACCTCTTCTAATGATTAAGGCCTCTCTATTACAGAGCCCCACCCTTTCTTCTCGGCCGTGCCTGCACTTCCACGGAAGGCTCCCGAGTTTGTCCCCCAGGCGCAACCGCAGGAGAGACGCTGTTAGGTTCGCAGAAAGGTTCTCTTATTGTCCATGTATTCAAAGAGAAACATACTTAAATGACGGTTTCGGTTGAATATGCAGTTTTCTGTTTTGGCATTCTTCAGTTTTCTGGATGCGGTTGACGCCACCGGATTTAAGTTCAGGGCTTAAGACCCCGGGGCATTCCGGTTTCAGGGCTCTAGAGTATTCGGGTGCGAGCGAGCGACTTCTTGCTTGTTTAGGACCCAACGATTTGCTTCCTGGTTTCGGGGTGTTTTGGGACACGGGGCTTATAACCACGGTGTGCCCTTCATCCAGTAGCGGGTGTGGGGTTAGTCTCTGGGTTGTGCGGGATTAAGTCAGTATTTTACATTATAAACTGCACAGTTGCTTGACCCTAAACCCTAAACCCTAAACCCTAAACCCTTGCTTGAATACTCCGCATGAAATAACCGGAGACAGAAAACGGGAAGGGCAGCTCTCACGAAGGCCACCACCGCATGGCACTCTGCCAAAACGATCTAACCAGGTGCCGAATGAGCTTGATGTAGCTTTAAATTCCTGAGCCGGAGAGTCATGAGCTGCTCTATCGCCTCGAGACTGGAGGTATCGACAACTTCTAAGTCGGAAGCATTGCAGTCACCCACCCCTCCGAAGCCGGTTCCGAACACTCCAAGATCCCTCCAGCTCAAAAACTGGCACCATGAACAGACTCTAAGCCAAAAGCAAAGATGCAGGACACCCAACGCCTGAACTCCGTCCCAGGACTTCCCACCCGTGGACTATGCCAGCGCTGCGGCCATCGGCATTGCAGTCGCTATGGCCACGTTGATGGGTTCCGGGCAGATGCCCTCGCAGGCTCCTGGTCAGATGCCGGGCTCCCTGGAAGGACATGCTTCGTGGTGGCCTCGGGGCCCGAAACCCCATTTTCTCCCATAGAGGTTTGACGATTTCATATTAAGATCGCCACACAGTCACTGTATCACCATAATACTATCATTCAAACGCCTATAATGGGCCTATAACTACCTTAAACCTTTTGCAATCAATTGTTAAGGCCTCTACAGTAACGACAGCAGCATCCCACATGCGTCGTAACGAGGCCTCTTAGCACGGATCCACACCGAGCCTCAATTTAAGCATCGCTGGCTGCCGCAACCCTAAAGCATCACACCATAGGACTCTCAACCCTAAGCCCTAAACCCAAACCTAGCATAGGACTCCTTCTGATAGTATGTAGCAGAATCTACCCCGACGCCCAATGAAGGCCCCTACATTCCGCACGTTCTGCCTACACCCCGACGAGGAACCGAAAAGTCCCGTGTCCCTAAACCCAGCCAGCCCTTTCCCATGCCTAGGCCGTGGGTTCCGCAAGCCGAAGTCTACGATCCGAACATGTATGCCTGGAGCTCGCTATTTGGGGCTCGATAAGAGCAGTGGCCAAAGGAAAATCAAGGGTAGAATGACTGTGATGACTGTGATGGGCCTTGCTGCCAGGACTGTATAAGACGATGCTACTGCCGGGACACCCTAAAACCCTAAACCCTAAACCCAATAAAACCCTAAAGCCCTAAAACCCTAAACCCTAAACCCTATAAAACCCTAAAGCCCTAAACCCTAAACCCCAAAGCCCAAAAGCCTAACCCCAAAAAAACCCGAAACAAGGCGGCCCGTACCACTGAGGAAAGGACGGCCGAAGCCCACGAGATGAATATGTTCTACAACTCGCCGATGGCGGGGGTGCAGTGGTTGTTCAGGGGTTCTGGGTTTTGGGGCTTAGAGGTTAGGGTTTTAGGGTTTAGGGTTTATTGGTTTAGGGTTTAGGGTTCAGGTTTTTGGGGGTTTGGGGGCTTAGAGGCTTGGGGTTTTGGCTTTTGAGGGGGTTCTTGGTGGTGTTGGATTTTTTTGGAGAGAGGGGTGTTTAGGTTTCTGGTGATCCTCAACTTTTATCATGGCCAAGTCTGTTTAAGACTCTTGAATTATTCAGATCCCAATTTGAGCCCGGAGCCCTGAAGCTCTAGCCTCTTCAAGCTGATGGTTGAGGATAAACAGCCATGTCACCATACCTTAACCTACCAAAACCTCCCTATAAATCCCATATTAGGGTTTATCATAAGAACCTACAAAAAAGTGGGTTATGGTAGGTTAAGGTAGGGCTCGTCAAAAGGAGATTCCGAAGTAAGGATGTGCTTTCTTGTTGGGTGATTTGTTTGGAGATAGTGCTGAAAGATTAGGTTGCTTCCTCCAGGAGGGAGGAGCAAATACAAGGTTACTTAGCTCGAGAGTTTGAACGACGTTCTGTGCTAATAGCTGCTAGAGTTTAACTGATCGAATACCAAAAACATGCTGGTCTTGGATTCGAGCTTCAATCTCTTCGTACCCGACACCTTTACTCCTTGAGGACCAGCAGAATCAGCAGTGTCCCTTTTAGATCCTGTTGAATCAGCAGAATAAGCCTATTGCAACTACACCGCAGCCCTGTTCAGATGTTTCAGGCCCCTACATTGGAACACGGCTCATGCGCACATCTCCCTAGCAGGTTGCTTCCATGCCACCTGCACCACAAGTGCTGCTTGGCTACGACCGAACATGTTGCTGCGCAACCCAAAACCCTGAGTCTCTTCTTTGAGCCCCAAACCCCAAGTCTCTTCTGTCATATTTCAGTTTGTATTCCGCGCGACGTAAATTGGATCCCCTGGACCACATCTTCATGGATTCTTTGAGATCGAGGAAGGTCTAGTCTTTAGGGTTTAGGTCTGGTCTTGATCAAAGGGCTCAAGGCAGGTCCTCTTCTCTCCGGAGCCTGGCATGGACTTGTTGACTGCCCCCTTAGCCAAGATTTCCCGGAAGTCCAGGCAGGCATGGCAATCATAATCACACTCACCGTCGCAATCATAGTTGTCATCATAGATATCATGATGAAGACTGCTTTTGACAACAGTCATAAGGCTTAATAATAAGATGTTGGCCCCAGGCCGACGATGTCCCTTGCCCCGGAGACGCCCTGCCGGATGCGCCCGATTAGCTTCGAAGACCGCGAGACACCTCCTCCCCTGCCATACCAGATGCAGGCTCGAGATGTGCTGTGGCGTTCGGAGTGTTGGGGTGTGAAACCCTTTGTGGAATTGGGCTTTGGTTCGGATTCCAGGGGTTCACAAGTTTTCAGAGAGCCCTTTGTTTCGGGCTTTCCTGCCGTTTTGCAGGAGGGGGTGCTAGTCTCAGAGGCCAGGCATGGCCCGAGGAGCTGTGCCAACATCTCCTGCCTCCATGTGAAAACCGTGAGAATCCTGAGCAGTGGATGGGTGGTATTGCTGTGGCCGTATAGGCATCACTCCAACCAAGATCCCTTAAAAACCAGTGCCCTCGTAGAATCCTGTCACAACTCCATCTAGAGAAACTGGGCAACACAACATCCAGTCCATTTTTGCCCAGGCCGTCTCAGATGGTTTCCATCAGTTCCAAGTAGGGCAGCTGGGTGTCGTGAACGAGGAGCTAGGGCCCCTGTTGGTTTCGAGTAGAGGTTCGGGTTGATGGTTCAGGATTGCATGGGTTCAGATCTAGAGTTTAGGGTAATATAAAGGTTCAGGAGTCTTTTTCCACGTCTGGGTGTTGGGACTGTTCGGGTTTACTGTGTAGTACACTGTGTAAGTGTCGCAGGTTCATGGCTCGGGGGTTGTCCGATGCTGGTTCCAGGGCTGAGTAGGTTGGGGCTCAATGCTGACAAGCGAACCGACTACGCCAGCTTCCTTCGCTGTGGCGCAGGACATATGTCTTTTTGTATGTGCATTTAGGAATGGAGAAGCATACTCCTTTGTTATTGTTGTCTTGTTGTGCTGTAGTTTGGTTGGCTGCCATGGCCTTCGCAGTACTTGTCCATGGGTTTTGAGCTTTCTCAGCAATGCTACCATCAGTACTTAGCTTTTGTCAGTACCGCTGCCCTAGTGTAGGGGTGCTTCTTGCATGAGGGGCTTGTTCGGGAGTTCCCCGAATCTATGGTTTATGAAATGCACCTGTATTCAATGATTGCTGAATCATTGCTGCTCTGTTTGTTGCTCTTCGGCTTCATGGTCCTACCCGAGGTGCGAGAAGGTGAAGTTGACCTACGAGGATCCGACGGCAGCGGCGGGGAAGGGTTCAGGGTTACCCTAAACCCTAAACCCCTAAACCTTAAACCCTAAACCCCTAAACCCTAAACCCTTAACACTACAGGGTACTTCCTATCCTGCCTGGAATGGTCGAATGAAATTACGGCGATGCTCCAATAATTAGTGGGCGGTGCTCCCATGATTAGTGAGCGGCTGCGTTTTAAGACAAGTGTCAGTGTAAGTTGCAGATTTTGGAAAGTATCGGATATCACCAGAAGCCAGAAGTAGTAGCATCCTTTACAGAAAGGCCTTTAAGCACAAACAACGCTGAGTAGATCCTTTTGTGAACACTTGTTCGCTTCGATGCACCGGGCCCTATTCCGTCCAAACCAAACAAGCACCAGGCTGTCAAACGTTGTCATCAGTTCTTGCTCCATCGATGGCTTCCGTTGGTAGCGCCAGTGCCGTTGTGATTGCTGTTGATGTTGCGAGGTCGACTAACAGTGTACGCTATCCGTTGCTGGTTTGAGCATCATACTGGCATCATACTGGGCTTGGGGTGCAGGACCGCAGGATTAGCGGCGTAAAGCAAGCACCCCTTCTGGTTTGAGGACGCACTGTCTCCTCGAAGCAACCGCGATTCGACACTTCTGCCGATTCCGAAGGACACTGCAGAAACGGTCGAGGGCTTAACGAATCACGCGACCGTGAACCCGTGATGCTGATGCTGCTACCAGCTGCTACCAAGGAGAAGGCATAGTGTCCTTCTCTTTTACTACATGTCTTGTCTACCGACGATGACGGGTGGCGATACATGCGAAGGACATGATAATCATACGTAAGATGTAAGGCCTTGCTGAGTAGTGGTATTGGCACTTGGCATTGTCGTTGAGATAAAACGTAGAGCATCCACGTAAACTAGTATGCTAAGGCGGTTTGTGTCGAGATGATATCGGCAGGGCTCATTTTGCCAGCGGAGTTTTAGACGCACGGACGTTTCTACATTCGGCTTCTGTTTGGGATACTACCTGTGCTTTAGGTCCTATACTTACTTGCTAAAAGCCGTGTAGGGGATTCTAGTTCATTGCCAAACTTCCCTGGTCCGAACGCCGCTGGTTGCAGAGATGATCTGCCCGGTTTTGTCGTCAAGGCCTCACGAGTGTCACTTCTGCCCGATCCCAATGGTCTAATTGAATCCCACAAAACCCTAAACCCTAAACCCCAAACCCTAAACCCCAAACCCTAAACCCCTAAACCCTAAACCACAAGGCCCCATGATTCTTGCTTCTGCCTTTCATCTGGAATTCATCGGAAGCTTTGCTGCAGGACCCCGTGTCTCCTCGCAGCAACCGTGACTCGAACCTCCTGGCGATCCCGAAGGAAGCAACAGTCTCTTTGATGAGTATGATGATGCTGCTGATGATGATATCGATGGTTATGATGATAACGATGGTTATTATGATGATGATGATGATGATGNNGATGATGATGATGCTGATGCTGCTGACACGGACACGTTTCAACATCACCGCTGTACTACCTGGGAATAGACGTCGCAGTGTGATTGTGGAAGCAACGATTACCGATGCTCCGCTTGCTTGTGTTGTTGCTTCTGTTAGTCTTAGTCTGAGTCTCAGTCTTAGCCTTAGTCTTGCTCTTAGTTTTAGTCTTCTTGTTGTTGATTGTTGTTGCTGTTGCTGGGGCTGACGCTGACGCTGGCGCTGGTGCTGATGCGGTTGTTGTTGTTGTTGTTGT